CTGGACATTTGGCTTTTTTTTTATTGAGGATTTAAAAATATGCTCGAACCCTGTTAAAAAGCTCACTTGTTCTAATTTCCACTTTAAAGTTTGGCCTTCTCGACGTTTTAAAAAGTTCAACTCGAAATTCCTATAAAAATATTTTGTTATATAACCTATTCGCGATATAATATGAAATATAACTTTTATCAAAATATTGATTTATGAATGAATTTACGAATGATTTCAATAGTTATATGTAAAAAAAATATTTTCAAAAACATAGGTATTACTACTTTTACTGTTAAATTAGTCACTCTGTATATATGTATGTATACAATAGAATCTAAGCCATATCCGTATTTAGTTCGAATTGATATCCTATAAGGCTATAACATTATAAAACTTTTACAATAATATACTAATATATAATATATATTACACGGTTATACCTATGTGCATAGTCAATGCCGTTCATCGTATTAACGTCCGCGTTATAGTTACTTATTATAGGCTTTATATAGCAGTGGCATCAGCTGAGTATAAAATTACTGCTGTAAATACTAAATCATAATCTATATTGACATTTTCACTTCAATTAAATCCTGTTATAGTTTGTAATGTGAATATACTCGTATTTACGTTTACGTATAGTTGTATGAGTGTATGACCCGTGAAAAATAAAACATCTATATATAATATTTATACATAAGGTATAAACCTTATGTATAATTTATGATAAGTTTGAACCTATATGATATATTTATATGTTGATAAAATTATATAAAAATCAATGAGAATATTTTCTAAATTTGTCTGCTAAGAAATTTTTTATTCTACAAATTAAAGGCATTCTATGTATATGAACAATATTACAAAGTCGAAGTCAAAGACTAAAATGAAACATATTATAATTCAGTGCTTTACACATAAATACATATAATATTTAATACATAGCCACATTAATACATTTATAATTTATTGATTGTAACTTATTATGCCCATTTTTGGTTCGAAAATTAAAGACGCCATAAGCCAGAACACCAAGGACACTGAAAATATTAAACATTTATTTAGAATTGACTTTATAAATTTCTTAGTGTGATTTGAAGTGTGAAAAATATGTTTAAAACAACATATGATTAATCGCTGATTATTAATTATGAATGTAAGTATTACCTATATAATAATGTTCCTTGGTATACCTAATTTCTATTATTTTAGATTTTTAGATAATATGCTAATGAAATATTTTAAACAGTATACTAATAATTAATACTACAATAGGATTCCTTTTACAAGGCCACGAAACTTAATCCGAATTCATTTTTTAAATATTTAAATATTTAAATATTTTTTTTAAACTTATATGAAAAAAACGAGTCGTCGGTCGTCACTCTCATTTCACATTTTTCAACAAGTAGATATTCAATACATAATTCGAATTTCGAATACAACTATACTATCTGTATACCTATGGATTGAACGTAGATTCGTATACTTATTATTGYCAGTATAATTAATTTCTCGTAGGTACGTATACGTATAAGTCGTCAAACTTAAAGATTAAAGCACGGAGGTCGTCCACTGAAAAATTCTTTCATTTTTACAAAAATAAAATGTTATGTGTAATAAAACCCACAGTGAAACACTATAAATAAATAAAAATTAAAAAGTGCCTCGAATGACACCAAATAATACTTTGCATAATGTGTCATGATAGCTTATGCGTACCTAAAAAACGTTTATTCAAACGCTGCGTAAATAAAAACCTTGCCTAATCCGTTTTTACATGCGAGTATTGTGTATATGTGTTATAGGTAAGTACTATAGGTACCTAATACAGGGTGATTATTATAAAAGTAAACAATACAAACACTAATATTCTTGAAAATGCAAAGGTAGCGTTTTAGAAATATCTTTTATTTWAGATAATTAGAAGTTATGACAATACAAAATTTTTTATCTTTATGAGCATGTACATATATAGTGATTATGTGACACCTGCAACATGTCTGTCCACTATAGGTACTCAGCGCTCCTCATTTCCTCAACACTTTAAATAGTTACCAACTTATAACTTATTAATTGCTAATTTAAAATTCGATTTGTACACATTGAAGCTCTTGGAAAAATATAAATATTCTACTTTTGAATACCTATTAATTAAAATATTCGTTAAAAAAGTAAGAAACTTAAAATATTAAAATGATAAAAATATTGATTTGTAATGAGTAATGACTATTCAAATTATATAAAATAAAATAGTTCCAGAACCTTTCACGCTATATAATATAATATATATATGAGTATGTATCATACTAACTATCGTCAGCAAAACCTACTGCATTATAGTTATATAATTTTCTGCGGTAGCGTACATCCTATATACCAATATAATAAAGTATAATAAAATATCAGTAGCTACCGATTACATTAGGTGTTAATAACGTATATATAGGTATTCATTCGTAATTCTTATAGCCTTATAGGTACGCACTTTTCATTATTTCTACTTTGCTGTGTACAGACGGATATAAATAATATATTAGGTATAATGTAATATTTATACTTCAGTATGCCGAATACATTATGTCTATATAGTTACAATGCTGCTTGTGTACACAATATATCGCAGCCAAGTAGGTATATACGACTATTACGACTAGACGACACACGCGACAGTCGAGTTTAATTTATAATAAAACACTGTGAATGAAATAATTAATAACCACATAACAAATATTATATTATTATGTATAATAATACCAATGAWTTATTATAATMCCTACATTATTGTGTATTATCTTTAGATGCGGAGGTTTCTCGTGAAATAGCATCGTGCTATCGTTGCTGAAAAGAGGGCGTCGAGACCACAGAGGCACAGAATGTAAAATATTAGGTATATGCTTTTTGTGTGGTGAAACGGTTAGACGGCGGGACTCATCACTCACCAGTGGGAGTGGATTTTATATGATGGACACGAGCACATATAGGTAATATAAACAGACAGACATTCATAGTTGGTATTATATTTATATATTATGTTTAAATTCAAATATATATAGGTATCCTATCTAAGTAACCCTTAGTGGTATCTTAAATAATGGAAAATTATGGACGATGGAAAATCGTCCTTCTTGATCGGGATTCGAGAAAAACAAATATTAAACCTGCAAGAGTGTAATATAATTTGTGTTTTAGTTCGAAAAAACGTAGGTAGGTACCTACTACCTATATGAATATAATACCTATAATAATGCCAACAGGATAAAATATCGTCGTCACGGATGATGAYGAAGTAGATAATCTGTAGAAACCGAGATCTATTGATCTATATAAATTATTCAAATAATCAAAGGTCTTGCTAGAACCTATACACAGTACACACATATGTATATATGTATGTATGATAATATGTTAATTTCAAATATGCAATAAGTACTATTTAATATTTATATCAACCGTGGTGGCGTGGGGCGATCTAATAATCAAAGGCGACGCGTTTCAATGTAATCGTAATAGTCAAATTCAACAATAACGATTAATCCTCGCACGTACGCCAGTTATATAGGTATATGATAAATTGATAAGTAATAATGCGAGGATACGACAATGAGATCGCAATTTTATCGCATTGTAGAACTGTAGAAGGCGAAGGCGTCATATTATATCGTTATATTCGAAGAAACATATAATTTTATTACCGTTTACCAGACACTGCGTGTTCATAAAAATTACATAATTACCTATATATATATAGCTATATAATATGTTTATATACGATATAAATTTATTTATATTCATAGATATAGATTGATAATTTTACGATTATTTAAAAAAATAATAAGTTAAAATTTACAATACAAGTGAAATGGGTTGTCCCTAAATTCTAAAAGTATAAAGCTTGTGTAGGAGACAATAATTACTCACCTTAATTATAGTTAAATAACTAGTTAATACATAATTCCTTGTTTAGATGGTAAAATAAATATCAAAAATATATACAATAAATTTAAGATAAACTAAAAATGACAAGTTGATAGAAAATAATAATAAARATTCAACAAATTGTAATTTTAAAATAAAAAAAAGAGAAAAAAAGAGAAAAAAAGAAAGGGCTATAATAAGCCTACAATTTATTATAATATAYAAATACAAATATACAATATTGATGATAGACATTTAAAATGTGTAGATTCTTATTGCAATATATAAATTACAATTTTAAAAACTATTCAAATTAATAGATTACAGAAATTTGAATGCAATATAGGACCTTTTTTTACTAAATTCACTTTTATTATACAAATTATGTATATTATCTATTGTATATTTCATCATATATAACTGATATCAGATACGTAATATGTATGACATGAAGTAAATAATAAATAATAATACAATACACAAACTCAAACACTATTAAACATATATTATTATTATGAGACATGAGTATTATAATATATTTATATAGCATAACATTTGTATTACATTTTAAAAAGACGTCAGCTGACAGCTAGTGCATATGATTTTTCCCAGTGTTAAAATTTAACCATGTTGGCATACCAATACGCTAGTGCAGACAAATTGAAATATCGTAAAAAACAACTCACAATCATTATGTTCCGAACTTTAACTTTAATAACACCTAGATAAAGATTATTGCAAAAGATTAAATTCAGTTTAATTCTAATTTTTTATGTTAAAACCGGGTCAGAGAAAGAGAGAGAGAGAGAAAACAAGTCACCGATATCGCATAAACAAGAGTACAATTACTAACTGTACAAGACGTATGAAGACTGCAGCCAAATTCCAATAGGTAATAACTATAATAAACATAATATATTATTATTAATAATAACAATATTGAATTATGGTTATGGTCGAATCCCGTGCGGGCGGCTGCTGCGCGATGTGTCGCCACTCGCCGCCGCCGTAGTCATCGTCATCGTCGTCGTCGTCGTCGGTAACGTTCGGCTGACGACGAACGTACTACAACCATACAGAACAGTCCGGTTTGCTTTGCACTCGACAACCCGCCGCTGACGCCCGTCACCCAATCAGTCGTTATTTTAGACCAGTCTTGTTCGAACGTTACCCGTCGCATCTCCGATCGTACCCTTCAGAACAATATTATTATACTATTGAAAACCGCCGATCACGGGCGTGCATAATAAACAATAACTGAAACACTCGTCGTAGACGTTCGTTTCGCCCTATTCCATTYCGATATTCTGTATATTCTCAGCCGAAAATGGCAAACAACAGAGCCACCAAGTCTGGTTTCGCCGCCGAAGCACAACGCAAAGTGAGTAACCACTTACCACCAACTCATTATTTTGGTATACACATTTACTAATTATTACTGTCGGCAGTGCACTTGCACTTGTCGGTAGTATGTGAATAATTATAATATTTTACTACGATTTACACTCTGCGTGAAGCAGAACACACTATGCATGCAATTAATTTCATGTCGACGGTGCATGGCGAGTTTAATCACGATATTGAGTAGTGTCGACCTTAAATACAGCGTAACTGCGTAAGGAATAATGTGCAGCTGCTATATTAATGTATTATTATATTGGTATCTACGTTAATTTTAGGTAATCTCTRTACATCTAGTACACCTGTTCGATTCCGACAAGTGCCGTCCATTACTATTACACGTAAATGTAATAATATTATTGCCTATATCGTGTTTGATGGTAATACTTATTAACCGTACTGTAACGTATGTAACCRCCATTTGAATAGTTTTAAGTGGAGTACTGTAACATTCGAGTTRGCTCCATTTATGATTTTCGTGTAAAATATATTCGCACACACGTATTCCGTTCAGCTTATTTATATTGATTAGAAAAACATTTATAAGTACACGTTTAATGGCAATCCAAAAGCGTCGTGCAGAGTACGGCTACCCAGATACCCCATAGYATTGGTTTTGCGTTTTAGACAATTTTATTGCGTTGGACAATTCGATTTTATGTAGATACATATTGCATTACTGAATTTTATTATCCTCTCTGCAGCCCTAGTGCAGTACAATACAGATCATTTATACAATGTAGAAATGAATACAGGACATCGTGTCTCACCRGAACCCCGCGGCTAAAGGGCAATTTAACGTTATTTTGCCAAYAAAATCTATTATTGTAAATCGCAACCAAGGTTGGTAGATAGTCAAGTTTTATTTCAACAGTGCAACAAAAGAACGCGCAATGGTATGACGAATTTTTTGTTTTTCAACCAATACCGAATTTCAAGGTTCCAAATTTATCAGTACGATGTAGATGGATATTAAATATTATAATAATATATACCTAGCCATAGAGGCATCCACGGGCCACGGCAAATAATTTGATAACAAATAATAATATAGATAGGYCATGGTGGCAGGTCTCTACAACGTCTCTATCTTTCCTCCTCTCCGGTGCCTGTGGGTTGTGCAGGAATAAAATACATGTTATATAGGTCAAACACACCTAGAACTCGAAGTCCACGCTCGTTCTGGGCAAATGCAATTAATTAAATTTGTTTACATGCTGTGGGTAAAGTGGCTTGCGTATCCACTATATTTTATTAATATTTTGTAAGCCGTTGCATGTTATTAATTGAACACGATGACGAAAAAAAGAGTATTCCACGCATAATATAGTGTAAGATAGAGAATATATGTATATACATAAACACTATATAATATCTATATCAAATTCAATAAATATATAAACATATAATATGATATACTTATATAGTAATGTTTTTACATTACGCATTGTTTGTCGTTAACTCGTAACCCGTAAACATTGCGGTAACCCGATAACCGAACTGAATTATTTTCTCATCTTTTATTACTTCTTTAGTTTTAGTATTTTTAATATTATGAAAATAGAATTTTGTATTCTCGTTTTTCGGTTGATTCTAAATTTTAATTATATTATTTCTATATAATAGGTATTTAACACATACAACTATCTATCATATAACTATCACATACTACCTATTACCTAACCTATATAATATATTAAAACAATTAAAAAATTACGTGATTTCAATATACTTACATAAATATTACCTAATAACTAATCAGTAAATTTGGTACGGACTATATGTTGTGGTATGGTGACGAATAAAAATTAGATGGAACTAAAATTCCTGAGCGTTGATTCATAATARTTGTCGAATAAGTTAATCGATTCTACTCGCTCACCACGTGCTACACGTATTTTGTATTGTGATTTTGTATATTTTACAACTAGTGAAATCGGATGAAAAACCTGTGTTCGCAAAACTAACATAAAATGCAAAATATTTTTCAGCGAAGCTTTAAATCGCGAGACTACACATATGATTATATTATATATATATTATATTATACACAACTGATATAGGTACTAGCATATTACGATTCCAAAACTATTGGCCGCGGCATTCGTTATAACTTATAACTTATTATTATTATAACACTTATAAATTACCAGTCGTTATATTACACACGTACATCATATATTATTATATTATTATTCATTCGCGTTGAATTCCGACAATATCCCAAAAATACGAATTAGTAATATTATGYTATATAAATACGATTGTTTTTAAACGTTTATCCAATATTTATTATATATTTGTGTATCGATATTCCATACAATATTGTATAGAATTATATTGGTAGACGGTACCTTCTAATAGACGACTGGCATACCTCGATAGTCGCCGATAAAATGTCGGTTAAATGACGTCTTTTCAGATAATTCCACTGCACCTACACTCATATTATTATTATGCTTGAAGTGGAGACCGAACCGGTTTTTCCTTCCAACACAAAGATAACGCGTCTTTTTCGAATAACTCCCATACATACCAAAGTTAAAAAGTCATTGCGTAGGCGTAATTTACATCTCTACATATTTACYCCGTCGGCTGTCTCACGTCTTTCGTTATGGTTGTACTTGTACCTAATTAGTCTTTACATGATAAATGTAATAGACATTTAAATAAATAATTATATATGAAATATTATGATCCAGGTTTTTGGCTCGCTCGATGAAGTATAAGACTT